GATTTTTTTTTTTTTTTAACTTACTCTGAATGTGGGACTTGTAAATCTTGACTCATTTTAAGTTTAGTGAAAAAAAAGTCTTGACATAATTCTGACAAAAGAATCATTGTAACCATTAAGGGACAATTTGAAATGAAGAATATTAGGGACTTTGGAGGAAAAGGTTAGACTTCTAGTAGAATTTTAGCATAAAAACTGACCAAAATCATTTGTTCGTGTTACTCTTGACTTGTTGGCTTATTGACTAATAGATTTGAGACGGAAGATATTTTTGAGGAGTCTAATTATGAAAATATCCTAGTAATTTCTGCAGCTGTCAAGTACAGTATGCTTTGTTCTGGTTTTACTATGATAATGGGTCTTCTTCGGTGTCATGGACTGATACGTGATCTGGATTGTAATAGATAACTCTGTAGTGATGCTGAGTAGGTCTACAGATTTGTCTCCATCTGACTATCAGCTTAGGGTGGGGAATCCTGGTTCCAGTTAACTTTTAGTTTCTTTTATTGTGTAGTGTAAATGGAGAGTAGTTAGAGGGCAACCTTGCGTGAAAAGAGATTTGCAGTAGTAGTAAACAGGGTTTGAAAATCTGCTGTAGGAGACATTCTTGATTTAAAAAGAGGATGAGGTAGATCATCCCAGATCTAAGTGTCATGGTTATCCTTGTTAAGTGATAGATGTTTAGACGGAGGGGTGCTGTATTTCTTTCCTTCTCTATTAAGTTAATGCGGAGTGGTAACAATCTTCAAATGGAAGTGGGTTTGAGATAATGTTGCTCAGACTGTCCAAAGAGCGAGAGTTTTGTTGTGAGGCTGCAGGAAGTGATGAGTGATACAACTCTATGAGTCTATCTCCCATTCTGCCATGACCCACTGAGTCTTGGCCAATGGACATAAAATGTTTTAATATAAACGTTGCAGGGTATATATTGTAGCTAGGTTAAAAATAGTAATAAAAAAGTTTCAGTGGGAAATCCAACTTGTAGTTGTTACTGTGTAGGAAAGAATTAAAAGATTTTTCCTACTAAAGTTTACCCGTAACGTTGTTAGGTTAGTCTCCAGTCTTTTAATGCCTTCTGTCCTATGATATGATCCGATGAATAGTGACTTGCAAAAACTTATTTTTACTTGGTACGAAAGTAGACTTTATTTGTTAGATGGAGACCTCCTTTCTATGAATCATGCTTGGCTGGTGCAGTCACTCTGGCAGCTCTCAACTATGGATCATGTCCCTGGCTTACACTCGGTCTAAATTTGCACATAATACCATCTTGTTATCCTTTGGCATGACCATTTATAATTATAGTGTGTAACTTGGTAACAAATATTGTGTTCAGAAAAGACTTGCTCAATGAATAATTGTAATCGGTGATATTAACTCTTTTGTTCTGTGTGAATTTTTGTCCTTTTTCTAGAAGATTAGCCTACTGGAAAATCAGATCTGTTAGATAAGAGAAACTGCTTTTAATTTAGCTTGCTCTTTTTTTAGTGTAAGAGAAGATAAATGTGTGTTTTGAAATTAAAAGACTTTTAACTGTGACATTTAGACTAGTAAACCTTCCTGACCATGCTCCATGATGACTCTTCTTTTTTCTTTCTCAATACAGTTACAGATGTAGAACTAAAGCGGCTGAAAGATGCTTTCAAGAGAACCTGTGGACTCTCGTATTACATGAGCCAGCAGTGCTTCATTAGAGAAGTGCTTGGCGATGGAGTTCCTCCAAAAGTTGCAGAGGTAACTTTATCTAAACTTACTGTTGCTGCAGGGGATGGGTTGGAGGGCTGTGTGCAGTAATTCACATGTAGTAATTGGAATGAATATTTCATTTGTAATACAACCCAACATGCTGTTTTTTTGACTGGAGGCAAATAGCCAGAAGTTGAGGCAGATGCAAACAGGGTTGTTGTTCAGACTTGAGAGAGCCCTATTACGTGACTTAGTACTAAGCTCCCAGTTAGCAACCCAAGTTAGCGTGCAGGTGATAAGAAGAAAAAAGGTTATAGATGCATGCAGGTTCTGTTCTGAGGAGACAGAATCGGCTTCTCAGTGGGAAGAGGAGGAAATAGCCTGAGACTTTCCATAGAGCCCTTGTGATAATAGGGGTCTTTATTTCAGACAGATCTGGGCTGCTGGGTACCTTCAGGATTCCTGGCATAACTTAATTTTCTTAAAACAGTGCAGCTCAAATAAGATTAGTCATCTGAACTTGCAAAGGACTTGTTTATACTTTATGCATAATACTGGAAAATATCCAGAAACAATGTGCCATATAGAAGTAAATATTGGGGGAGGGAGGTAAAGAAAAGGAAAAAAACATGCTCCCTTTACGTGCACTAACATGCACCTTCGGAGAAGTGTTTTCATAATGTTGACTGTGACTTGAGACAGTGTAAGCTACTGAGTACGTGGTGGGGAAGTAAGATTAGCCAGATTTTCAGCTGATATTTTAGTGCTTGTCCTTTTTTTAATAATAGCCTGTATTTTAGTGCTAGAATTTTTAATGATTTTAACCTTGCACAGATTATATAAAACTTGAAACATTTAACTAGATCAGTGGGGGCCAGACTTTTTGGCAGGCGTGCCCCAAATTACCCATGCACCCTCTTTTCCTACTGCTCCAATCCCCTTCCCCTACCCATTCTGCTGTTCTGCTTCCTGCTCTGTGCTCCCTATCCAATCTGCTACCTCTGCATCCTGCTTCTTCCCTGATCTGCTGTGTGCCACACAGATTGCCCCTGTGCCACTTGTGGCACCCTTGCTACAGGTTGGCCACCCCTGAACTATGCAATTCATGTTTAGGAAATCTTCAGTAAGGTAAAATATGAGAAAATGTGTGCTATATTTTTATTTTGCAGCTGTATATAAATATTGATGCTAGAGGGTGACTGTTCCTTCCTGGATTTGGGGGGGATTTTATTTTTTTGCTGTGAGTCTTACTTTACTGTCTGAACTTTTCAAGTACTGAAATGGACAGTGAAATCATGGACTCTCGCATTCAGTTTTGTGATCTAGTTGGCAGTTTTGATATTATGCAGTTCTTAAATGTTTAAGAGGACATGGTGTAGTATATGTTAGCATGTGCCAAATTTAAAGAAAATGTATGATTTGCTTTGAACTTTTAAATCTCCTTTTTAACCTTTCATATATGTGGTCAGGATTCTGTTGAATATTGATCACTTGGTAGAGCTATCAGGTGTTTGCATTATTGAGCTAAAATAATACTCCTGGATTTTGCCTATGGACTTCCTCTATACTCGTCTCCCCTTTCATTTCTGTGTTAAAAATTATTATGCTGTCCAAGTGGCGTGAGATCTGTGATCACAAACGGGAAGTGCTTTTCTTTTTAGACAGCGTCTGCTGGTTGTGTGCTACTCCTTTCACATCTGTGCTTGTTGGTAGACTTGTTAACGGTTACCTTTAACTCTCTTGGCATCACCCTTCAGCAGTTCCCTCTTTTTTAGTTAGTGAAGAAACAAGATCAGTGTAAGAACGGCAGTTATGTTTGTTTTATTGGATTTCATCAAGTACGATGAACTTGGCATCTGTAAACTCCACACCATTATATTGTCAAGTGCTCCTAACAGTCATATTTTGGTGTGTATTTGTAAGTAGAGTCTCTGTACGAAGCATCTCAGTATGAGTTTTCAGACCAGAACCAGGGGCTGTTTCTTGTGTTTCTGGAGCCAATGTGTACAAAGGAAACTCTGTTATGAGTGTAACTACTGCCTTGCACTATGTAGATCCAAGATGGTGGTTTTCAACGGTCCTCAGACAGTCTTAAGGAGTCTGTGGAAGAAGATAGCATCAACCAAAAGTATGCAAATACCTACACTTACAATTTAGAGGGGTGCACACATCCATTTTAATTTTTTTAAAGGGTCTGCAAATGAAGTAAGATTTGAAAACCACTGCCCTAAAGAAACTGAAGCTGGAAGGGTTGTATTAGTAGTCAATAATGATAATGTCTCTTATTTTCTGTCAGGCTGTTTTACAAAGAGTAGTATCAGTTTATCTTCCCTTAATTCATTAGAAAAAATTAATAGCTACTTGCTTTCTTTCAGCGAAATATTTTATAGAGCACTGTAGTCAGTGCCTGCAGTGCTATGCATTGTGCAGTAAGTAGTATCTTCCAGGGTGGTGCCTGTTACAGGCAGAAAGCTTTCAAGTGGAACGTCTTCTTTCTTACGTACTTTAAGGAAAACCATATTTAATGGGAAAGAATTCAGGGCTATAGCTGGAGAAAATGACCTAGTTTGCAAAAGGGATAACATACAATATAAATGTTAAAATTGAACACTTTTATTCCTTGTTTGAGTTTTCTTCTAACATCCTATCGTGGCTTAACTTCACAGTCCTAGTTTTTTTTTTCTGTTAAAATTTCAAGCAAAATGAAAATTTCTTAATTTTAAAATATTTTTCATGTACCGGCTAATGTTGCCTGGAATTCCAGCGCTTTCCAGAAGGTATGTTAAATGTCAATTAGCTTTTTGCATTTGATGAACAAGTACCACATTAAGTTGAACCGTTTGCTGTAACAGTAAGCAAAAATGCTTTCTCATGCAGGCTAGGGGAAACGTGTCCAGCAAGTAACACAAACTAGTTCACTGTTACTACGCAGCCTTGCAAAACTTTTATCTGAGCAAGTAAGTGCAGTATATGAACATAAAACTAAGCCCCTCCCTAATGTCACTGTCCATAAATATGAGCCTAAGGAGGTAAATTCTCCCTGCTAATAATGTAAGCCCTTGTAACAAGTTGTTTTATATAGCAAGTAAAAAAAAAAAAAAAAAAAAAAAAAAAAAAAAAA